TTGACAAAATCAAGCGTTGAGATTATGTCCACTGAGAAAGTCGTTCTTGGCAAACGCTGAATTTACTGCTGACTGCAAAGTGACGATGCTGTCTTGGGCAGATCTGTAACGTCTGAAACCAAATTAAAAATTGCTGAGAATATGTTTGGACTCGAGATACCAGTCTAGACACTTTCTCGAAAATTTTAATAAGGGTGGAAACTAAGGCAATACATATGCAGGAATTAAAATTAACTGGCGAGTTATTCCTTTTTCTTAAAATGAAGATTTGGAAGCCGTAAATATTTCTTTTTATCTTAAGAGAAAAATGTATTCTTTCTTATTTCAGGGTTGAGTGACAAACTTTACAAACTTTTTTCTTTATCGATAAAATAAAAAAGTACTTTAAATGATTTAAGAGCAACTTCATCTTTATCAACGCAGAGTAAATTTATGAACAATATCTGGTGGTTGTTCGTTATGCTTTGGCCAACCATCTTTCCTTTTTTTGTTTTTATCTACTTTGGGGATGTCTTCTATACGTGGGGACAAAGTGGTTATTAGCAAGGGTTATAGGAAGAGAAGGGTAGAGAGAGAGGGAGTGATGTTTGTGAACATTCATCTTGAAAATGGTGACACAAGGTGCGTTGGGAGAGGCAACTGCTGGTAGATGAGTTCCTAAATCGAGCGATATGGTTGACGAACAATGCATCGCGGTTGTGCGTTGTATGTTAGGCAGATAACTCCAGAGCGATTGGGTGGGAGCACTGAGAAAAAGACGTGTGGTCCTGTTCAAGGAAATAATTGCCGGACAAATCTCTTTTATCTCCGTAGAACCATTAACGATATACGAAATTTTGTGTAAGTATCTTACTTGTGTAATCCTTAATTAAACATGGAAGCAACGATTTATATTTGTCGCATTGTTCGATTAGCAAATTTGATGGCTGTAAAAAGTTTATTATCGGTAAAGGTTAAGTTTGCTTTTGTGTGACTATGAGTTCAGGGTGTGAAATGTCTCTCAGATTTTTGTAAAATGTGAACTTATGATTCCTCACTTCATGTAATATCTATTTACAGATAATCCACACATAGCTCACAGCATATCGGTGACGAATAAGTTAACACCAAAAAGAAAAAAGATAATACAAAAATTATAAACAGGGTTGCCTGCAGTAATGGAGAATAAGATGTACAATGTAATAAAAGGGATAAGGTTATACTTTCGCACATATAAACTCTAAATGAATTCGAAACGATTATTGTAGGTTAATGCGATTGCCTGAGCCTATATGCATTCTTTAACGCCTGGCACATCTTTTCGCTTTTCCATGAAATCTGTTATAAGAAAATGTGCAAATAAATAAGAATAAAGAAGCAAATATTCTATACCCAATTGAATGGTCTTTACCATTGCAGCTGTTAAGGACGTAGGCGAGAGTAGTCTGTTTTCTTTATTGGCATACATGTATGCGCAAATATTAGTATTTGCATTTAAGTACAAATTAAATCCTTTTTGTTTTACTTATTTCGTACGCTATTGAAATTTTTCCCCTCTCTTTATTATTAATATCAATGTTCATTAGGTGTACTAATGTTGGTAATTCGTCTCTAATATTCAAAATTTCTTTTTTTAAAATCCATAAAGCACATAAATTCACATAAAAGAAAATATACAAGAAATTTTTTTAATTCAACCGTACTTAGCGGGAACCTTTTCATAAATATTCACAACAACATTTTAAGTCTGATATACTTTTCCTAATTCTTGTGTTATGTGATTTGCTTGAGAATGGCAAACAACAAACAAAGTTATATTGCTGGTCTTATTGGCTCATTAGCTGTGGATGACTAAAAAAAAGTTGTACAAAAGTAAAGAATCCATATTCACTTTAGAGTGCTTCTTAAATAAAGTAGCTTGCTGCTAATTGTGGATTTGGTTATGGAGGGATCAGTACCGCTTTTACCATCTTCTTGATTTTGCTTTAATAAGAGTTGAAGCTATCTTTTGATTCGATGTTTGAAACCAATTCATTATTATTATGATAAAATAGGCACTCGAAACAAGTCAAATAAACAACTCCTTTTTAAGTAATCGGGAGTTTTTCACCCTTCCTTCGTGTCCTTTCCTGGTTCTGATTCAATCTTGAAATGTCCTTTGTTGGAAAATGACGAAAATTATATCTTCTTTACTTCTAAGGGCATACTGTTTGTAGTAGCTCTTGCATGAAAGAGAACGCAAAACATGAAATTACATGGTCCAGTACTAAACATTAGACTTGGTGACATATAAAGACTTATTTTTCATGACAGCACTTATGAAATTTGAAGAATAGACATATGCGGTCCAATTTTGGTACACGTAAGTGTTATGTTAAATTACTTTAACGAACCGATCGCTATCGTAAAAATAACAAAATTTGATCTCCTTAAATAGAGAACTAAAAACCTACCTTATCTACGAGCTATCATGTGGGAGGAAGTAGAAAAAAACTGCTCCGTTCGATCCAAATTTTTCAAATCAGTTCGATAGGCCATTAATTTGTAGTATTACGATTTTTTTGCGATATTTTTAAGAGTGGCCAATGTTTTTAATTGAACATATTTTTCAAAATAAGGCGAGGTGTGATCTTAAGAATGGTTCGATTGAGTTTATTCTCAGAAAGGTTTGTCTTTTGCCTAAAACACGTCAGTGTAACAAATCTTGACAAAATATCTCGAAAAACAGAAAAACATATATGGACGTTATACTGCCATACAATCGCAAAGCTTGTAATAAAAAATTTATTTATGGTGAGCCGTTCTGGGCGTCCCTAAAAGCACAGAATTCGTTATAAAAAGAACATTTCAAAAGTCAATAAAGAATTGTTTTGATTAAAAGTTTAATACAGTTTTTAATGGTTTTTGTATATTATTTTTAAACATATTTTCCAAATTTTTATTATTCTTTTTTATTGAGAAATTCTGTAACCAATTCAATTAGCTCAAGTGGCTTATGCATATGTATTAAGTGTTTAGAATCCAACCAACATATGTGCGAATTTGGGAAAAATATTTGTATATCCGGCCAGGTATCGGGCCTAAAGGATATAAAGGCAAGAGATAGATAACAGAGAGATTATTACTAAAAGGCTATATAGTGCAATGAGTAAAACATACTCTACGAAATTCGATTGATTGCCGCAAACGAATAATGCAAGTCCCTCGAAAGGCGGGAATTGGATAATTTGATCTCGGAGCTGAGTATAAGTACGCAGATTTTCCATTAAAGCGTCAACGTTTACACTCCAATAAAATCTTGAATTGATGAAGAAATTTTTTTTATTCATCCTAGAGTTTTATAAAATTTCAGACTTACTCTCCGCTTGGCTTTTTTCTTAAATTTTTTAGTATAAAGTTAACATTTTCTGAGTAGTCCATAATCTTTGAAAATAACTTTGACATCATATCTAAGCCTTCGGGTAAAGTTAGATTATTCGGTATTTCAATGCCTTTCATCAAAATAAATATCTGCTCCAATGTTATGGGATCCTGAGGACGACCTACCGGTGATACATCTAATATAACAATACGTTCCACCCAATTGGGCTGTTGATTAGAGAATATCTGTTGATTGTCGAAATTTGTTAGATATGTCGTATCATCATAAAACCTACATGGTTCAAAGCCAAATACATCGTCGCACGACCACCCATGCCATGACCTAAAACCGCTGCTTTGTTATAACCACGCGCTTGCATAAATTCCAAAATATCACTCGCCATTAATATGGAGTTATGTTCTAAGGTATGTGGAGAGTTACCATGATTTCTAGCATCAACCGTGAATATCTACTGAAAGACAGTAACAGTTAAAAATTTTCTTTGACCATTTCTTCGATCCTAATCGGGGCCTTACCCTTCGATTACTTTTGTGCGCTAGAATACTACCAAGTTTCTTCCAATTAACTTTACTACCGAGCATGCAGTGCATTATTATCAATGGAGGTAAATTCTCATTTGTGTCTGACGTTTTGTGAACGTCATAAGCCATTGAAATCCATCTTTCATTCGAAAACTTAAGAGAGCATCGTACTATATAATTGCGGTTAAGAAGGAATTTTTTTTGAATTTTTAACATTTGATTTCGATTATAATTTGAAGTTTTCGTTGATGTAAAAAATATTTGAAAAAATATTACGCAAACAAAGCAAAAATTCTTACAAAGTTGATATCTTGAAAATTTTAGCTTCTTATCAAATAGTTCGATTAAATGATCATTTCACATGGAATTGCATTGAATTGAAAAATGGGCGAAAACTCGCCATTCAGGATGATTTTTACCAAATATGAGATAGTAATAAACACCAAACGAACACAATTAATTATTTTTATTGTGTGATCGTTGTCCGGGACAGTGAAGACAGACAGTGACAAGATGATCCACGTCATATGTTCGCTTTTGTAATTATGCCATCGTCATTATGGCTTAATAATGAAATAGTCAATGGCTCTCCCCTTCGATAACAATTTCTCTCTCGCTCTGAACTCAATGACATGCGGGTTAGCATATGTATTATGCACAATAAAGGGGAAAGTATGAGTTAGTTAACTCATTTTCAATATTACAACATTTCATATTAAATTAAAAAAAAAAAAAAAAAAATGCATGATTTGAAATGTTTCAAAAATTTTGTCATACTGCACAAAAACAATACCAGCTTAATTAGGTCCCATTTCAATCTAATGCTGGTACTTTTATAATTTCAAACCAAACATTCGTTACTTAAGAGGTGCTGTTGTCTTTCATATGATTACTGAAAAATGTACCGGTCGATAATTTCCGGGAATAAGAAAAGAAAAACAAATTTATTTACGAAAATTCGATACCTTCAAGAGTGAAACAGTCAGGCCAATCAGGTCTTCTCTAACGTTTCATGGTCTATTTTATAGAATTGTTTGTCAGGACCCTCGAAATATACGTTTTAATTTTCGTAATGCCTTTATCTTTGTTAATTAAAATCTCTTATCCTGGAACATACTTTCGAGATACGCAAGCCGTAAATAACCATTGGGGGTCGGATTTGGCGAGTAGGCCAATGCATGCAATTTTTCCATTGACTAATGAAAGTGTGGGTGTACGCGATAACCAAATGGGAAACAGCTTGCTCACGGCCAAATTTGCATGTAAAATACGCAATACACCGTCTTTTGATATGTTTAGGATCTCAGCTCTGTTTCGCAACTTCATTTTGCGATTATCGATTACGTGAGGGTTATCGACGGCGATATAATCGCGTTTAAACTACGCAAACCATCAATAAACTGCTTGGTGTCTTTCAAAGGATGAAAGAATTGCCATGACAATTCTTAAGACAATAGCGAGTTTAAATGGTTGTGTTTTTTTACCGAGCCATTTGTTTTTAATTTATATACGAAATTCGAAGTTTTTCATTCCGCTAATAGCGCCGCTAAAACGTGTAGAGCTGGTAGAAAAATTACCAAATTGACATGAAATTTTGGCGCAGATGTTGGTTGCGTGACGTTTGGCATTTTCAAGAAATGTTATCGATTTCTTGTTACAGGCGATATCTATTTCTTAGTCCTGGAAATTATTGACAGTGTTGCGTTATTTTGAAAGCACTATTTTTTTTATCACAATTCGTTGATAAACTTTTTGCAATCTTCATTAGTTTGTTTAATCACTTCAGGAACTGTTTCAAGTTTTTACCTTTTTTATGATATTGGGCGAAAACTTTCTCCCATTTTCGATGATCAGAGTTTACACAGCGCCCATTACGCTGCACTGCTTTGCATATGCGTCGACATCGTACATGTTTACGTACATTTGAGCGTATAGCTTGCGTGCATTACTGCGACAATGCGCGTAAATAGTTTATTGTGTTCATTTGGATTAATTTGACTTTGCTCTATTAATGCTTTACAGGCTATATGTTCTAGCGCTCTAGTGCATTGTATCACTGCACTAATGCACTTTACATATGCATACGTTGTCTCAAGCTCCGCATTTTATTGGCGGTTAAATTTAAAAGAATCGATTTAATTATTGCTTCAATAAATATCGTTTCCGAAATAAACAAAATAGTCATGTGACACAATTTGAGTGTTCAACCATTCGCAGGCATATTGTAAGAGCTCAAAACAATAAAAAAAATGTATCCATCTACTCTATAAATCTCACAGAAATTTTTTTCTTTTCTTTTCTTCTCTATTAATGGAACCATGTTGCATTCAAGAATTTTAAGAAATGCTTGGTCTTTGGTTTGTTAAATTCTTTTGATTACCATATTTGAAATAAAAAACAGTAGCTTTAAGGAAAATTTGAACATAGTATATAATCGTAAGTACGCAACACGCTTGCATACATTAGAAATTGTATGTGGGTTTTTGTTGTGTGTTTGGGGATAAGAATTAAAGATATTTTACGAAGCCTGAGGAAGAATGACAACAAGCACCGAAAACATGTTAACATGTAATTTCATAACGAAGGCATGTAACATTTGTTGACGTCGCTGCTGCTTTTGTTGATTTGCAAGAGCCTTGAGATGCAAGTTTCTTTGAGTCTGTCGTACAATAAATTTTAATTCCCTAACAGTATTAAGACAAAATATAAGTCTTTACATCTCTCATCTTATCATAGCATTTTCTATCTGTCGCTAAATAGGTTAAAATATCGATCACATATATTAGTCAGTCAGTTATCATGTTAGGTAGTCAGTCAGTCCATCAGCGAGTAAACACAAACAGAACACAATGGCAAGAAGCAAAAGATGACAACACAATGATTTTCGCAGCATCATGAAAGAAACAAAAATAACAATAGACATAAACCGCAAAAGGATGTCAATGTCAGAGCAAGACGAAATAACAGTACAAAGATTTTCATATGTGCCAGTGCCGGTCCTAGACAGATACATGTATAAAACATGCATGCTATTGTTGAATGTATAAAATTACAAAAGTTAAAGAAAGACTTGTCGTGTTTGCTTGACTGCCTAGAATTCTGTATTTGCATAAATTGCTGTAAGTTCTGTAGTTCATGTTAGCTTAGGTGGCCTAGGCACATAAAAATATCTTTATATCTCTTTTTAGGTTATTTGATTGTCACGTCAAAAGTCTTGAGTACGGAAGTGCTGGAGATAACAAGCTGAAAACAGCCTGCATAAAGAAAGGAACAAGAAATTCAATTCAAAATCGAAACTGTAACCATATTGTCAACTGGTAAGGCTCAACAAGTCTATCAGTTGTGTGTGTAGCTTACAACCGTTGTATGCCTGTGCAAATAGTAACTTAGTTAGCTCTTTGGACCATCTCTTAACCTTCTCTTTTCTTATATACATATTTTGCCGAAAGGATATTTTGAATCTTTTCTTATTTCTTAAACCAAATTGCTACTCTTACCAAATCTAAAACATTCTCCAACATTGCTTATTTATATATATATATATATATATATATATATAAATATATGTATCTATATGCTGTATATATATGTTACGCATACTTATCCATTGAAAGTTTCTATAGAGTTCTCGTGCCATTGTGCAAGAACTCGATAAAAGAGAGAGAGCACGAAAGATTCCTTAAGTGGTGCTACGTATGTCGTATACAAGATGTCTTTGTTTCCTTTACACTTGAGCGTATTCAAACCGCAACGAATCTGAGGTCACCGCAATTTAAATTAACATGAATTGTACTGTTGCTGCATAAAAGAATTTAAATTTGGTTTTGTGTTTATGCGAAGCAGGCAGATATATGGGTGATTGCGCGAATTAAATAACAAAAATTATCCATAATCGTGGAAATTTTTGGTATGATTATTATGCCTTTGTCATTCCATTTGTGTTATACTCGTGCATTGTAACAATTTTTAATCAGCACGCGTTTATACCGAAATAAAAAAGTGGCTCAAAAATTTTCTCAAGTCTACATGAAAAAGAAAAATAAAAATATGATTTCAATTCACTCGATGACAATCAATATAAAGTTGAGTGATAATGTATAGTGCAAGAGATTAGAAAGAGTGGGAGTTGAATAATAATTTTATGAAAGAATATATTTGTTATTGAAACTCTCTGTGTAGCGAAGAACGTAGCACAAGGACATTTTTTTTAGTTTGCCTATGTCGGAGTTTCTCCAAATATTGATAAATATCCATACTATATTCTAATCTCGTCTATTAATAGCTTCAATTTTACTAAATAGAATATATACAGTTTTGGACTTCAATCCTTGTTTGAATATAGATCGTCTAGCTTGCTTATCAATATAATTATGATATACTTTCTAAATTGTTTTCGTGCGTTTATCCACTTTTAATCTTTCGCTGTCAACCCATTTGACGATGGTTTGAGTTCAATAAGTTTTAGTAGAGATTCGCAGATAATTTAAGATCAGACTGCGTCGAGTTTCTTTGTGCAAATATCCTTTTCGTACCATTGGGCATTTTTGACTTTAAGAGATTGACAGCATTCAATATTGGATGATTGGATTCTTCGCCACATAGTGACTGCTCAAATTTTTTATGGTTATTAACATCGAATTGTAGATGATTTTTTTCCTTTATCTTTTGAGAAGTTGCCTTACCGTGGTGAACGTCAAAAATATCTTTAGGGCTTACCAAAAAGTTCATTCATGAACGTCTGAATACGAATATTCCAACACTTGACTAGGTTTAGAAAACAGCTGTAAATTCAATTTTGTAGGATTAATTTGTGGTAATATTTGGTTTGCTAACAATACGATGTGAAGGAAAGGTTCAGTAACTTTTTGATTACTGATGATATTTATTTTAAACATGGAGTATATTAAGTCCAGTATAACGTATTTTATTTTATTCTGTTTTTACTCTTTAAAAGAAAAAGATCGCTAGTTCAGCTCGATTGCATAATATTACTTCAATAGAGTTGACTGATTGATTGCATTGTTTTATCTGCATTATTAATAATCGTTTAGAGAGCTTAATAGAAATGTCAATAACAAGCAGAGAATGGAAACTCTACATACAGACTCTGAAGAGAAAAAAGAAGAATA